ACAAAGCATACAAATAAAGCATCCGAGTTTCATGTACCAAACCAACCATGACAGGACTCACAGAATAGCAGCTAGACTACAGTCAGCTGTGTCGCTGCGAGGGGCCCAGAACTTTGCTGCCTGATAGTAACACAAAAACAAGCTATGTTGTTATTATTAGCAAACTCATAATAAGGTTAAGCATAATGCACACTTAATAGTTGGTTATCCTGCCTTATATATACATAGTTCACATAGATGCCTTTTTAATCAGGAAAAATGAAATTTCTACAGATGGTCTCACCAGACAGCTTACAGTCTGTCCCAGCTTTTTTTTTGCTAGCTGCTCCTTGATGTGTGTGGTAATGTGTATGTGTGTCTGCATAGGTATGGGCTGTTTCTGACAATTTTCTGTATCCTGACTTAATGCAATTCACAGATCCAGACCCCTCTTCATCACTACCAGTGTGGAAACAAAACACGTATTGATGGACTTTAAGGTCCTATAGGAGCTTAAATCAGGCCCCTTGCTCTCCCTGCAGAGACAAATGAACATCAACCTACTTAATCCTGTCCAAAAACTGAACCTGAGGGAACGTCATTTTGATGGCTCTCAGATAGCAGAATGTTAAACATGGGATAGTTGTGTGGATGGATGGCAAGGGTGAGGCTAGGTTGGTGACACAGACCACATAAATATTTAAGAATGTAACCAAAAAATGAGTAGCATGTTGGTGTCATCCCTGAAGCCTCTCACCTTTCTCCAATAGGAAAGCTCCAGTGGAACTAGGTTGCATTCCAGATTTACCAAAGGAAGGGACTCATGGCCATATTTTTATTTTTTTTCCAACAGGAAGGCCCAAAAGGACTTATCTGCAACATAAAGAACATTTATTTAAAAAGTTAATAGTGGTTTTGTTCAGAATAAAACTTTTGGAGAGAAAAAATACTCAATTATTGCTGGCAGAGTGGAGACAGTTATTCTTAAATATTTGCTGGGGCACTTATCCTCCTGGCAAATCACAGCAACAAGGAAAGGCTTTTAATCTTTCACAGGAATTTAAGAATCACAAAAAGTTCATAATAAGCATGCAAGGTGGGTGTTGCAGCCAGAATTTTATATACAATCCTAAGACTTGGTCTTATGGCATTTTGATTAGGAGCTAGCTTTAACAAAAGGATACTGGGTTTGGGGGGTTTTCCAACAGTTCTAGCATGTGGTTTTCATGACAGAAAGACTGAGTGTGAAATTTCCCTGAAGGAGATCAGGGACCCTGCTCGTGGCCTGGTAAGTTCATTCACTGCTCTTGTTCTCAGACTGTCTCCACGTGCTGACAACAGACATGGTCACATCTCTGACCACACGGGTCACATCTTGCCTTCCAAAGATGCATTCCTCTCATGGGAGCTCTGTCTCAGTATAACTTTTTCTCCCACTTGATCAGCTCCTTCTTGTTGCTTTTGCCTTGTACCCAGTTTCCAGCCAATCCCTACATAACTGTTGTTCTCAGCACAGCTCTGCATGTATTTGCACATAGGTGTTACCTCCAAGATTCTTAACCCTCTTGTCTTTATCCACAACTTTTGTTGCAATTCATATTTTTAGATCTAAGCCTCTGGTTTTGAAAAACAGAGGGGTCATGGATTTAGCTTTGTTTCTCTCTGTGGAAAGACTAGCTGGGGCATTTTCTCCCATGCGTCCTCTTTTTGTCCTCTCCTTGTTTTCCTCTTCCCTTGTGACTTCTGTCCTTGCAGGGTGGTAGTGAATGACTGAATGAGTATGGGAGAAGGCACAGACTTCTTTGCCAAAGGAGAAAGTCTTTGAGCCAGAGCCCTGGTGTGAGGTGTGAGGTTTTCCACTGGAAAACTTAACTTGACATCTTCAAGACTTTGCTTCTAATCCACTGTTCTCACAGGTACAGCTGACCTGTTCATATCAAAATTGAAAACATGACTCTGATTTCTCATTCTAAAAGTTCATCCAATCTGACCAGCTTGTGGTTTGGAAGAAGTTCTGCCAGCAGCCCTGTCTTCAGCTCCAGTATGGGCATGTCTGCTGAGCACTAAGCCAGCCATTTGGAAGAGAACATGTAAGCTTTGCTTATTTGCCTTTCCCTCACTTAATTACAGAGAGAGTCCTCCACAGTTTTCTCCAGGGTTTTATGAAAATCATCTGGTAGGGCATCTAAAGATTTAATGTCATAAACAAGTAAACAAAAATCTGCAGCTTAGAAGGCCAAATTTCAATTTGATTTATTTTATAATCCATAGAGTTTCACTGGTGACAGTGGTTTTGTACAGGTTATAAGTGCAAAAGAATGTGAGAAAGGCTTCATGCTCATCTTTGGCAAATGTTGTATCCCATCTGTTTGTCACTATTAGAACATTTCTTCATTGGCAGATGAAAAACAAAATGTACAAAAGGATGCCATAAACTATTTCATACTATCATCAGCACAACCAAACGCAAGCAGTCATTACTCTGATAATGATGTAGCCTCTCACTCTGGAACTGTCAGAGGCCTTCAACCCAGCACACTCAGTGACTAAATGCTCTAAGGCACAGGAAATGGTGAAGTCTTTGGAGGAGGAATCAAGAGAAATGATTGCATGTCTCTACATTCTGTTTAGAAAATAATGTCTTTTGATACAGAATTCCTACTTTATGGCTCCTCTTGTTACTTAAGGGTTTTTTATGTCAGGCAAAAAATTAAAATCTCAAATAAGATACTGTATCTTTATATTGTACATCTGTTTTATCTTCCAATCTAGTTGAGATGAAATGGAATCAACCAGAACATTTTAAAATTATCTGTATTTGGAGTATCTTCTCTGTAAGCCCTAAAGTGAAGTTCCAAAGAGGTTCTGTTTAGGCTTAAAGGGAATTACTTAAAATGGGCATTTAGAAGGACTGCAAGATTTGTATAACCTGCCTAAACTTGACATATCCTTTCCCTGGTGAGCTGTTTTCTGATGACAATATATAGATGTCTCTTGTCTGTTGGAAGGATCCAGAATTCCTCCCTCAGTGACAAATATGTGCCAGAGATTTTAACTAACTTTCAATTATTCTTGAAGATTATGGATGTAGTTGTTTCAAAAACCAAACTACCCAGCTGCAATTGCAAATTTTTATTTGCAATATTGGAAACTGTATTAAAGTCAGGCTAAAAGCTAACTTCCAGCTTGAGTAACCATGCTTTGAAAATTGTTTCTAAATTCCTCATCTGTAGACCTTTAACAAGCTTTTCAAGGGGGATGGGGTATATTTACAAAAGTGCACAGCAAAGACCGTGTCATGTGTATAACACAACAGTTGTTTTGTGGTGTGTACAGGGTTAGTTCTGCTCCTGGAAAGGAAGTGTTGATTCTTTGGCAGGAGAAGGAAACCCTTGATCTAAATGTAGGCATGATGCCCCTTTGTATCTCTATTTTATGACATACTTACTAATCCGTGGGGGGGAGACAACATGAGCCCCTCAATTCTACTGGCAAACACAAAACAACACAAAACCTCATTCACTCAAGGGAAAGGTTCAACACTAAACGCAAGGTCTGTGACTGAACAAGCCTCTGGGGTGTTTGGAATGTACAAACTGAAATACACCTGCTAGGGTGGCATCAAGCACCACGAGAAGCTGCACAGACCTTCAGCAGTGCTGCCAGCCAGCATGCTGTTAAAGCCTGGCTCCCCTCCAGCACCAACATGTTATGCTGGAGGTGTCTAATGGCATTCACAGAACTGGCTACTGAATTTACTGCACATTAAGTACCCTGTGGTGTTCCCAGGGTGGTGTACACCGCTCGCTTCCTACGCAGTGAGTTTTCCACGTAGGCAAGACCGAGTGCTGCTCTAAGTGATTTTAATGCTTTGCAAACTGCCAAATCATGGCAGCCCACTGTAGAAAAAGGACAAGGAGTGATGGGTAAAAATTGAAAGAGGGAAAATTCAAGTTAGATATGAGGAAGAAACTCTTTCATGCGAGGCACAGGCTGCCCATAGAGACTGTGGGTGCCCCATAAGTGTTCAAGGCCAGGTTGGACAGGGCTTGGAGCAACCTGGTCTAGCAGGTGTCCTTGCTCATGGCAGGGGGGATGTGAGGATTTGGATTAGAGATGTAAAAAAGTTTTTTCACTGTTTGGGTGGTCAGGCATGGAATGGCCTGCCTAGGGATGTGATATGAGTCCCCATCCCCGGAGGTGTTTAAGAGGTGTCTGACACAAGTGCTGGGTAGTTTGGTTTAGGAGTCACAGGGGTAGTGCCGAGCAGATGGTTGGACTGGATGATGTTGAAAGTCTCTTCTAATCGCTTTAAGGTCCTTTCTAAGATTCTATGATTGTTCACCGCCAGCGCCCTGCCAGTGCACGCACACTCTCCAGAGCCGGCATCCCGAGAGCGGTGACTGTGACAGCACCTCGCAGCTACCAAAGACACACCGCTGGCTCTGCGTGGATCCGGGATTAGTGCAGGCCCATCTGAGCGCTTTACAGCCGCTGCTTCGCTTTCTGCCGCCGAGGCCTCGGCGCCCGGGGCCTGCGCTCCCGAGGGCCGGGCCGCGGGGGCACCGGGGCGGCCCAGGCTGTCGGGCAGCCCCGGGGGTGCCGGACCTCGGCGCGGGGGCCGGGCCGGGCCGGGCAGGGGGTGTGGAGCGGTCGCCTCTCGCGGCTCGCAGCCGGGTGCCTCCCGCGGGCCGCGTACCCAGAGTGCAGCAGGCGGGCGGGCGGCGGCGCGGCCGGAGCCACCGGCGGCACCCACGGCCGGCCCTCCCCGGCGCGGCGGGAGCCGGGCCCAGGCGGCGGCGGCGGCGCGGCCCAGAATGCGACACTGAGATGCTTCTTTCCCCGGCAGCGGCGGCGCCCCGGGCCCAGGCGGCGGCGGCCCCCGCGTGGATGCGGCTCTGGAGCCGGCGCTTCGCCCTGCACAAACATTTCTATAGGACTCATTCGCCCTGCTGAGGAGATCGGCCCTGACCGGCCGCTTTCCCTCCCCTGCTTTTCCCCGCTCCCCCCGAGACCGCCGGCGCGGCCCGGCCCGCATGGAGGCCCCCGGCGGCGGCGCCTCGCCGCTGAGCGCCGCGCTGGTGGGGCGGCTCCGTCGGGAGCACGAGAAGGTAAAGAGGGCACCGGGGCCGGGCCGGGCCGGGGGGCGCGGGGGGCGCGGACCGGGCCCGGGGGGCCCGGGGAGGGGGAGGGCACGTGGCCACGTGACGTCACGGGCGGCGGGCGAGGCGGGCCGGGCACACGGAGACCCCCGGGACACGGCCCCGGGACTGGCTCATGGGACACGGCACCCCGGGACTGGGCCCCGGGACTGGCTCATGGGACACGGCCCCGGGACTGGGCCCTGGGACACGGCACCCCGGGACACGGCACCCCGGGACACGGCACCCCGGGACACGGCACCCCGGGACAGCCCCCCGGGTCACACCGCTCCGGGACACAGTGTCGGGGGGGCGGCAGGAGGGAAGGCCCTGCCACATCCCCCGCCCCGCTGCTGCCCCAGCCTGCCGTGGGCACCAGCGCGCCCATAAACGCGTTTTTTTGACCTTTTGACGCCTCCCCGTGATTTTTCCGGCCCCCGGGACAGTCAGAACTGCCCGCGCAGGGCCCGGCCGTGTCTGTGACCTGCGTTACCCCCGGGGGCAGCGTGTGCTCCTGGGCCAGCTTGAAGAGATCGTGTATCAAAACTTAGGTGTTCATGACTTGCCTTAAGAATCACTGGTAAAATTTAAAATGGGTTTCAAAGAACCAGATTTTTTTCATTAGAAGTTATTCCCGAGAGTTCAGAGGCTGGTTCCACCTGAGACCATAGGTCAGAGCTCAGGATTGTTCTTCCTTTAGATTACACTTATGATGTAACTCAACTGAAAACTTAAGGAGTTTGATTTGGGGCTTGTAGATTCCAGCCTTGCAGTGAGCTCTCTGTGTGGGTGCAGGAGTCACTGTGGAAATAACTTGTGGTCATGTGCAGGGTGTTTTTGACACAAATACATTTGCCCAGTATGCAGGCTTTTCACTTTTTCTGCTCATGTGATTAAATTTTTTTTCAAGCAGATTGTAAGATGCAGGTTAGAGTTCATAAGTTAAAATGGAAGATTTTATCTCTAGCCTGTATTTTGTCACATGCTGGTTTAGTTGAGAAAAAGTGAGTAACACCTATGGGCTATAAAAATGTGCCTTGTCTGGAATATTGTGTGCACAAATGCATCTACTTTTGAATACCCATTAGACCACTACTAAAAGACCTGTGTAGCCAACTGACCACTAAAGTGGAAGAACAGTGACAGGGTCTGCTGGAATCCTCTGCATCGTCTGTTCTGCATGGGTTGGAACCCATTATGCCAATAATCGGTGATGGGGGCTTGCCTGCTCAGGCTCCAGTTAATTTTCAAGGTGGTGGAATCTGGTGGAGAATAATTTCCCTGGTACATTAGTGTCAGGCCTAATGTGTAAGCACACGTCTGCCATAGCCACAGAGAATTATTCCCAGTTCATGGTAAGACCTCTCTGTAAGCAAGTTTAAGACTCTTCTTAAACAGATCTGCTCCAGTGGAAAAGAGGCCCAGGAGACCATTAATTAAGCCTCTGTTAGGCTGAGGTACCAAAGTTATATTTTATCTTAGGGAAACTTTACATAATTTCTGCAAATTGGCTGAAAAAAATGGAACACTTCAGCTTCAATATGAAATTATACTAAAGAACTACATATCTTGGTTACAATGGAGTGTAGTGATGAAGATATAGTAGACTTTCCCTCTATGCAATGAATATATATAATTGTATTACAGTGGTATGTTCAGTTACAAAAATATTGTATTTCAAGATGGAGGAGGTCTTTTTGTTTCAGCTACCTCTTAGAGATCTGTGTTTTTCCCACAAAATCACTGAAGTAGAAGGCTCCTGTTTTGTCTCAGCACAAAGATGAAGGAGAATTAGTTGCCCAGTACTTTGGTAAACTAGTAATTGTATTGTAAGGATCACAGAAAATAGTAAAGTTACTTAGCCAGAACAATATCTCTATATACTGGCAGGCAAATACGCTTCTTTTAATTACTGGGATGTTGTGGTGTCCCAGTGGTGCTTGATTAAGTGTAGGGAAACCTATTTATTCCCATTAATCTGAGGGCAGCCTTTAGTGAAATTGTGGAATACAGCAGTACCTATCTGCAGCATTAAAGATAATATTTGAATTGTGGTTGTTTAACATCCAGGCTGTTGTACAACCCTGGTACAGCTATGGGTTTGAGCTTTAAAGTGCTAAGAGCTGCCCTGGAGAACTTGTGAATTGAGGCTTCCTTCCTGCTTAAAAATACTGAAAGAAGAGGATATTCACGACTTTCTGTCTTTAATCGGGTGGAGGCTGCAACTGGCAAGTTCAGGACCCCTGGTGAAAAGTAATTTTAATTCTTGTTTAGGACTGCTTGCCTGTTGGACAGATTTCATCTTGTTAATTTGTGGTGATAGTAAGCCCAAACTGTTAAAAGCAATTTTCAGTGCTCCTACTAAAGGCACTTTGTATAAAAACATGACTTAGAATGTGTATCTTGGGGATAAATTATAGAAGAATATCTAGTAATTTTCATGATAAAGACCGTCATTGGAAGCACAATGCCTGCGTAAAGTTTTGAATATTTCTGTAAGAAGAGTATAATATATGTATCATGGATTACTTGTAAAAGCAATATATGATAGCTGGAAATACTGCAGTAAATCTATTGCAAGTTAATATAGGAATTATAAAATGAATATTTAAATAGGAGGTTTCTCATGTTGTAGGGCCTGCGTTTTAACATAATATTTGATATACATTTATTCCTGCAATCTAGTGGGTTAGGATTACTAACTGATGGGAAGTTGACAAGTCAGATGTATATGATTTGGAAAGACTTGTGTAGACAGTGAATTTACAGTGGGATGATATGTTCTATAGTTTCAGAGCAATGCAATGACGATATGTGTAATGGGAGACATTACAGAGCCAATTAGACCCAAGAGACATTTGCAGAGTGCAGACACAGGCATGGAGAATCTAAAGGATTCCAGTATTAGATGGCAATATTTTTTGGGTTTTTTTTGTATTGCACTGACAAACACATTTTTTTATTTTCTTTTCAGAAAAATTAGGACAAGGAAGTGACTCTCCTGTCACTCATCATGACAGCAAAGCACAATTAGATTGAGTGCAGCTCTCACTGTAACTCATTGGTCATTGTGCATTATGACATATTCTTAATTTTTATGACTTTGAATGGTAGAACTGTATGATTTTTAATTTCCAAATGATTTTCCAGATCTTTGGGGGCTTTAAGTTTTTTGACAGTTAAACAACCTTTAGGTGGGTTATGGAGAAACAAATCACAGAATCCTAAGCTTACGCTCTTTTAAATTGTTCTCTCTTCTTACGTGATTTACTTCTGGGGCTGACTGCTTCTTTCTTTCCCAAGTAATATCTGTGCTATGAAATCAGCAACTTGGCAGTTTTAGAGCTGTTCCTGCAGTCTGAGAAGGCGCAGTGAAGCAGAGTAGGGTCCTGTACATTTAATGCTGCTGCAGGAGCCACTGGAAATCTGGCAGTGCTTGCCTACGGACTCACAGATGAGCCTCATATGTGCTTTCCAGTGCCGTGTCTCCCATGGTTTGCGCTTTTTCCAGCCTATGTCCAAGTTCACAGAAGCCAGAGGAAGCCTGGGTATGAGCCACCAGTGCAGCAGGACTTCCTTTTGTACAATAACTGTTTGAGTAAAGGGAACAGAGTGTCTGAAACTTGATTTGATGCGCTTATTTTAAAAAGAACCTGAGTGAAGCTTTATTTGCTCTATTCCTTTTTAAAAGGTACCTGGACAATTACTTTTTTGGAAACTTGTGATGACATACGTTCCACCCTGGCCAGTGGTTCCAGTAATGTTTTTTCATGTGCTGCATTCAAGTAAAAGGGCTAATTCATTCATTATCTGGAAGCTTTTTATGGAATACTTATTGTTCCTCCAGTGTTAATTGATCATCACTTTTACTTTTTCAGTCAATATTTGTCCATGTTCTTATTAGTATGAGTTAAATGCCCACTAGTTTATATAGTGTCAAGAGTTGTGAAATAAATTAACAAATCTTCAGTAGGTTTTTTAATGGTAATTGAAGGAGACTGTTCACAAAAGAGTTTAAAGAGCATCATCTTTATTCTGGAGAGGGCAAGCTTGTGTGCGTCTAACCTCATAGGTAACCAAAATGGGTAGATGAGATTACATGCACAAAATTTAAATGTTACTGAATTGTGCTGCTCTTACAGTTGTCTGCAGATGCTGTGAGTAGATGCAGTGACCAGGGTAGTATTTGGGAATCATCTTCACTATCTTTGCAGATCTCCGTTCTGTAAGTTAAGCTCACAACCTGTCTTCTCAGGTCCTTTTGGATGCTCCTTGACTCAAGTACTTCTTTCATCCTTTGAGGTTGTAAGAATTGTATTTTGTTTTAGTCTGAGCCTCCAGTGTTGCAGGTGGATCTGCTGTCTCAGAGCTTGCCTTGGGGCTCTCAGAGCAGCAGGTATACTGAGGCTTTGTGTTTGTGTGGTGAGGGCACTGAGACACTGCTGCACTGTGCAGGTGCTGCTTTTGTAGTTCCTCGTCTCTTAGCATAGGCTGCAGCACAGGAGCAACAGTCTCAGACACTTGCTCAGAATTTTCATTAATGAGCCTGTGAGTTGTCCAAATGATTTAAATTTGAACAACTTATTAATCTTTTGGTGTGTACTTTTTTCAGTCCTTTAGCAGTTTTAGGGTGGCACATTTGTGACAGTGCTCAGTGAACTTGGCTGGGATCCAGCTTCAAACCAAACTTGACCTTTTTGCCTTTTTTTTTTTTTTTTTCCCTCCTTCCTGGACTATTTTTCATTCAATGTGGATCCCTAATGTAGTTACAAATGTCTGTCAGCAGATTGTATTGGAGTTGGGAGGATGAGGCAGTGGAACTGAGTAGCAGGAAGCCAGGGAGGGACGATGCCGAGTTTACTCAGGACTGTGGCTGAAAGCTGAACCACAGCCTGCAGCTATGTCTGTGAGGCAGGTGTCACAGCTCATGGCAATTTTAAGCTGGATAAGCTTAGGTTTTGCTTGCAGCA